ATAATTGTTTAAATAGCTACGGTAGACTATTTCAAATGTAGTGATACTATCCCGAGGTCTTTATCAATTTTTTTCTACTTCTGAGAATTATTTTTCGAACTTTATCTCAAATTTTCTTTTTCGGTATAATTTCTTTCGGATAGATACCACATTGTGGTATTTTGTTTTGATAATTTTATGAAAGATCCATAAGCTGCTACATTAACCGTTTCTAATGTTGGGGTCATTGAAAGTGTCCTACAAAATATACTTTGGTGATATTCGCATTTTTTACTGATTCTACGCCGTATATTTTTCAGTATGCGTTTAATTCATCGGCTGTTGATCTGTATGGAGTTTACATTATTTTTACTGCTCGTTCAAACTATTTCATTCATTCTTCACTTCTGGTATTTGTGCGAAAACTCATATGTTATCTACTTTGGCGCTTTCTTAATTAATTTTCTATTTCTTTCTCAACATTGGATTTATCTTTCTTATTTCTTGAAGAAACACTTGTTAGACACAGTCACAATAGTTCAAGAATTTACCCCAGTTATTGAAACTGTCGGAAAATAGATTTCTTATTTATTTATTCATTGGCGTAGATCGGTAATCATTATCAAAGCTATATCATCAAACATTGTGATAAGGTTTTCCTATTGGGTTAAGCGGTGTGCTGAATTTTTCAAAACGCCCCTAGCTGTTTGTCATGCTTTTAGATCTTTACAAATGTCCTTTCACACTCGTCCATCATTTTATTAAAAAATGTTAAGTAATAGTTTCACGAATCATTAATCACCTTTTTTTCAGGGTAATTTGATTTCGCAGCTCCCTTTATAGCTTGAGACAATGTAATTCTTAGTGACCTGCAAAAAATCTTCACATATTACATACTTATTACCAGTAGTACATCTATGTACTGTCTGATTTTTTGGCCACTCTTTCTTTAGTTGTTTGTACCATTAATGATAGCAATTCTAGGAATAATTAAACTATTGATATGTATTTAAAACAATTCTTCGCCGTTCCACAAATATTTTTCCATTTTTGTCTTACGTGTCATTTTTTCCCATTTCTCTCGTCCTGAAACGAAATCTTGTTAGCGTCCTCTTAGACTATTAGGATTGATTTGGAGATGTTACTTAGTCTATCCATGTGGTTGCGGCCATTCAGTATGGTCTTTGAAAGTATTAATTGGTACTATAGTTATTTTTCAGATATTTCATAAAGTAATTTTTTCTCAACTTTGTTCATTGATATTTTACTTAGCTCGTGTGCAATTTACATTTTTGTTTTGTATAATTTGAAAACTATTCCAATTTTCAAACCGTTGTTGCTGTTACTGCATGCTTTGAGTTCTGCTTCTGCAAGAAATGAATGTGTTACATTTACAATTATTCCAATAATAGTACTGGCGTATTACCTAGACTCTTAAGTAATGCGCCAAAAAAAAAGAGACGATGCATGACGCGTTTCACTTGCTGCTTGTTCACAGGTACAATACAAAAGGTTGCTCCTCTTGTACACCCGAGATATAACTTCATTTTGCTTGTCTATGAAGACAGGCACACCTATTAAAAAGAGATCCCTCCTGGTCGTCTTTTTTTAAAAAAAATGTTAAAGAGCCCTGCACTAGGAGAATGGAGCAATAGTTCTTTTTGTCTTGCTGGAGTAAGAGAGGGATACACCAAACCACAAAATAAGTCTTAGTACAGTCGTTATACATTGGTGTTGTATATTTTTGAGTGATTGAAAAGGGATTCTTGCTCAAGCTATGAACTCAATAATGTATGCATGACACCGCACAGAGAAAGAAGGTACTGTTTCCTTTTCTTGAGATTGAAGACTACACGCAGTGGTAAAAACGTTACATGCTGAGGAGATGGATGAGAAAAAGATCAAAAAAATAAGAGTCCTTCTGCTTGGATGTCATGAGTATTACAATGGAATGGCTGCTTTATTTTCTTGCTAGTGCGGCATCGCAATAGACAGTGCCGTTTTAATTTTTTTTCAAACGTGTCTTTTTAAATACTTCTCTTTTTACCTTTAAGTTTCAGACTTCAAAAACGGCGTCCCATCCTTAGATTACCCCTTCACGCAAAAAGCGGATCTTTTATTCCATACCTGGCAGTCCAACAGGTGTAGGCATTCATTATAAAGGATACGCAAATACTTGAATATTGCACAATTCACCCGAGTTTTAATGATGAGTCAACCTTTCTGGTTTTGGAATAGATCTATACTTTGTTTCCCTCCTTGAGTTAAATGGATACTACTCGTTAGAATTGTTTCCGGATAACGTTGTCCCATATCAGTGGATCGGGAGCATGAGTATACTAATAAATCTTTAGTATTACCAGATACTTATTTATCAGGTCATGCAACGGTTACTGTAAAAGATGCATACTTGTTTGTCAAGTGTAATTGGCAATAGAACATAATAGTTGACGATTTATTCATTATCTTTGTAATGAATAAAATGCGATCCCAAATATAAAATGTCTTACCGATATTTGTATTATTTGTAGTATAAGATAGGTATCCTTTAAATCATACACCATTTCTTTATACTCTTTATCAACAGTATAATTATAATAATATAAAAGTAAATGAACCATTTATATTAATAGCAGTTCTATTCTCTCTTTGGGAAACTAATCGATTGAGAGAACGCTTAATATTAAGTTGTCATTCCTATAATTCTTGATTGATCTGAGAAGTTTCTCTTCTCGATCGGTGATATCGTAACTCAGCGGTATAGCTTTCTAAATCCAACTGTCATTCGTATATCGTATTTAGGCCAATCATGTAATCTTTAATATAGAAATATGTACTCAAAGTAGGAGAAGTTGTGTAGCAGTATACATGTGTATGCTGGTATGCAACATTGAAGGTTCGTTTTTATTTCATAATTTAATTATTTGAACGATTTGCTTATTGATTCTTAAGTGAATCGTACCCAAATACGAGAGTGCCATAATAACTGCCAATTCTTGGTGGAACGCAGGTTCAGGCATGGTATAACATCCCTCATTGATAACTCTTATAGCTAGAATGCCTGCCATACTTAACAACCCGTATACGTGAAGAACACTTTCACCTCTAACCTTCTGCCGATAAAAACCAGTTGAATTTGTTTCTTTCTGTACCATTTCATCCTCAGCGTCAGCCGGGGTATAGTTTCTTTCTAGTATGTACGCCGAATATGTCATATAAAGGTATAGGCACAAAATACTTTTGAATACGTTTGTTGTTTTACTTGTCATACTGACGTTATCATTCATTTCAGATAGCTCGTGTGTGAAACCAGCGACATCCTCTGATTCTATCAAGTTTATAAAATACCCACCTGCATTGACTCTTCCTGCCAAGCTATTTAATTCGTCTGCCCTTTTTTGTAACTTTGCCAAGTAATTTGGCGTGTCGTATTTGTTCAAACGAGTTAGCAACCCTGCTGAAATAGTTTGGTCATTGCTTTCTGTTGCCGATGATGTTGCTGCTGCAGGTGGTACTGTTGCTGTTGATGTTTGAGAGCGCGTAGCCCTAGCCATCGCTGATTGTAATTTCTCAATAACCGGAGACGGTCTACGTGCAGGCGAAGCTGCCACTCTTGCTACTGCTGCTGCTGCTGCGGATGTTGAAGCTGATGCTGCTGCCGTTTGAGGAGCTGCTGCTGCTGTTGATGATGATGTAGCTGCTGTTGTTTCCTGCACAGCGTCAAATGCTGAAGCCAACTCTGCTGATGCTTCAGCTAATTCAGCCTCCCTTTCTGTTTTGGGAGCTGCTGCTGCCGCTGCTTCCACTGCTGCTGCTGCTAAAAGAGCTGTCGCTGCTGCCTCATCAGTCGCTTGTGGAACGGCAGCTTCAAGTGATGCTGCTGTTGTTGTTGTTGGAGCTGCTGCTACTGCTTCCGCTTGTTGGGCTGTTGCCGCTTCAACTTGCGCTGCTAATTCCACAGGCACAAAAACAAGATCATCATCCTCATCATCTTCTCCTTCCTGTTCTTTACCAACTGGATTAAAAATCGTGATACCAGAATCATGATCATGTAGTTGTTTGTCATCCAGGCTACGTTTCCAATCTACCGTAATACACTCCAATGGTTCACGGTCTGAAACGTTGTAGACTTCATACTTGGCTACTAAGGTCGTGTCATTATGGATGTTGCCCAAGGGGAACCCACATTTGCGCATTATACGCTTGAATTGCTTGATTCCTCTATGAGGCTTTATTTTGTGGTTGCGTTTAAAGTAGTTAAAAAACGTTTGGAAATATGCCCACTGCATGATGTTGTAGTTGAAGTATAATATACATATACTTGGGACTTCTTTATTTGAAGTTCCGAGCCTGGTTTAAATATCAGGTTTTATCCTATTTTTAATAAAGTTCATCTTTTTTCTCTCTCGTATTTATACTTGTGTTAATCGACTATTTCACATGATGTGAAAAAAGTTGTAAAGAAGAAAAATGAAAAAAAGCAAAAGAAACAACCAAGTCTTTTTTAACTGCTCGCCCCTTTTATATTCTATTGTGTCACCATTATAATCAATCAAGCAATGCAACTTTTAAAAATAGTAAAAGAAAGTAATTCAGTATAGTCATCAACAACATATTTATTTTAATTATTAACCTTTTTTGGGTGTAAAATCAATGTACTGCAAGTGGCCGGTACGCTTGACCATGTTAGGATGGAGTTTTAAATTTCTTAACTGCTCCGTGAGCGTTTGGTCTTTTTGAATAAACGCGATAACTTCCAGAAATTCGAGCTGCGTTAACTCTCGCATGCTGTTTGTACTATATAAGACTACAATTGCGAATGCCCCTGTCAGGAACGTGGCTAGGAATATATTATAGCAATAATATCAGAAGATACCTACTAGTTATACGAGACAAAGGAAGAGTGGTTTACAAAGTATTTAATTATAATAATAGATTATACAGGGAAGGGGAAGGATACAAGATAATCGACATGGAACGTGGAAGGCAATGGAAAGGGGGAGTATTTATATTTTTTCAGATAACATGGGTTTGCATTTAAGAATGTCTTGGCTTACTTAATTAGTCTTAGTGTTGGTTTCAGCTTATGTGGCCGAAACCCATGAGTCATGATTACTAATTGCTTGGCGTCGGAGATACTTGGAAACGAGTCATGATTACTAATCTCTTGGAAGCGGAGGTTCGTTGCGTGGATAGTCTGGGAAGGTCCTGGAAGGTTCTGGACACTGGCGTTGTTGAATCTCAGCATGAGATTCCAGAACATTCCAATAGTCGGGGATTCGTGGTCAGGGGCAAAGTGCAAAGTACGTGGTTCATGACAGCCCCCTGGTTAAAATAGCGCAGAAGAGTATTAAATCGATTGCACAGTTTTAAACAAGGCAATCTTGCTGGTACTATATTGGAATTCTAATATACAAATTAGTTTGAATAGATACTTTTGTTATAAATTTTTTTTTTACTCTTCAGCAGATCCACGAAGGTCGTATCGTACCCGGGATAATCCAACTTTAATTTTTCGCCTAAGCAAAAAATATGGTAACATCCTGCGTATTGTATTGTTGATCCCAATTCCCAAAGGTGATGCCGTTATCGTAGTAGTCCTTAACCGCACGAACATACACTTCAAGTTCTGATTGCTTAGTTCTATCATTCAGGTTTGGAAGAATAGGAATCATTATACGCATCAGCCTGTTTTCCGTGGCCATAGACTTGATGTTGTTTTTTAACATCTCCATATCTGGAAGAACTACTTTCTTTTTCACCACCTCAGGTTCTTTAGTCTTGGAGGCATCATTAACTTGAGGCGCTCCTGATTCATTGTCATTATCTGAATTCTCATCAGAACAGCCAGCCTCATCGTCTATGTACGGATTATTTATGTATTGTTTTTTCTTTTTAGCAGATCCGCTGGAACTTGCCTCCTCTACTGCTACTCTTTTGCTTGGTGTAGCAATCGGTTATTCTTCAACCGGTATTGAGGTAGATTGACCTGATTATTTAGATATTATGGTACATATCTAAATCTATTTTTTTTTAAAAGAATAAAAATTAACTAACCTTGGATTGGTAAAGTAATATTATTTGTCTCCAAACATTCCATAATCATAGCTGGATGATCGTCTAGATCTACAGAATAAAATTAGCTATATGCTATGTGTATGAACCCTTGTGTCATGTACTTACAATTTCGCTTCAATAAGTCAAACATTTTGTTTAACTGATTCATAATTGACTCTGCCATTTAAAATGTTTGACGATAAAGAGAAAAAAAAAAGAAAGATACAAATTTGTCATCAATTGCTTCCTTTTAAATGCAAGCGGAATCAATCGCTATTTTTTTAATTCCATTAATAGTCCATCGCGTACCTGTCAAAACGCGAATTGTTTTTCGTACAAGAATATGAAATAAATTAATGTAATGTTCTATTACATGATCTTTTCATCAAACTAGTGTGAGTGCCGTTTTAAATACTGACATTACTTCGTCACCAAAAGTAACTTTATAATCTTTATTCCACGATCGTTGTATTCACACTAAATGGTAAACATAAAATAAAAAATTAAGCTTTTATTGCTATTTGTCTTCAAACATGTATGATATACCTAGTCTTTACAAATTATTTGGCTGCCATTCATAGAATCAAATCACAAAGCGACAAAACAAATACTGCAGTTTTAATTCAATTTGAGACACATAAACCACAGGCAATTATATAAAAAGATTTATGATATGTGGTGTTTATTTAAAGGGAAATATAAGAATCTAGTTAGCCAAGGCCAGAAATAAATGAATTACAAAAAACAAATTCCACATTCAATGTTGCATACCAGCAAACGCATGTATACTACTATAAAACATTTTCTGCTACGAGTAAAAACTTCTATATTAAACATTACATAATTGGCCGAAATAAGATATACGAATGATAGTTGCATACAGAATGATATACCAGTGAGTTATGATATCACCGATCGAGAAGAGAATCTTCTCAGAGCAAATTAAGAATTATAAGAAAAACAAACCTAATATTCATAGTTCTCTCCATGGCGTAGCTACTCATAGAGAGAAAATAACAGCTATTTGTATAAATGATTCATTTACTAACATAGTAAAATATTTATACTGCTAATGAAGAGTATAAAGAAATAGGGTATGAATTAATGTATACAAATATTTTACGACCAAATATACAAATCTCGATAAGACAATTAACATTTGGGATCGTATTTTATTTTTTACAAAGATGATGAATAAATGATCAACTGTAACTGTATTATTCTATTGTCAAATAAACTTGAAAAACAATTGAATGATTTTTATAGTACCCGTAGCATGATCTCATATACAGGTGTATAGTAACACTAAAGATTCATTTGAATAATCGTGCTCCTAATCCACTGATATGGGACAACCTCAACTGGAAAAAATTCTTACCAGTAGCACTAATGCAACCCAAGGCGGGAAACAGCGTAAAGATCTATTGGAAAAACCAGAAAGGTTAACTCATCAGTGAAACCCAGGAGAGAGTGCAATGTAAGAAGGATCATTTATTTCAAAGCATCAGAGTTCTTTTATTCTATTTCTACCCTTAAAAAAATGTACCTTCATCTCATTATTTCTCCAGCGTAATGTTTCCGTCAAAATCCACAAACAGGTATCATGCATAGATTATTGATAAGGATGATTAATTGAGATTAGACGAGTTCTAACTTGTTAGATTTAGTAGACATTAAATCATATGACTGTTAGGGGAATATTTATGGTTTGACATGGGCGGAAAAATGCATTGGAAAAACTTTAGTAAATGATCAAACAGGTTTGTTAAGGTTGAGTTAGATAGAGAGCTAGAAAAATATTGAGAGACAATTTAACGATAATATTGACGATGAATTCGACAACGGGCAAGTCATACTGATATTACTTATGGTCCAAGGTTTTGCAGAGTGTTTTATAGCGAACCCGATATATTTAAATATTATTGAGAACAAAAACTCAAGGTAATCAAGATCTAGATTAATTTGTGCGGATAACAAAAGGTAGAGAACTTTGATAGTAGTTTAACTTCTTTTTTTGTAAGGTAATCAAAAAGCACTGGCCCTCCGTGGAAAAACAGTGACATTCTTTGAAAATTTAATTATTAGAGATCTACCAAAGAAACATACGCTCCACAAGAATAAAAGAAACATACGCTCCACAAGAATAAAAGAAACATACGACTCGTGAAACACCAACCAAAAGCACAAACATTAGTCCTTAATGATGTACAAAACACAAAAAAAATTACGTTTATCTCCAAATCATTCTCAGCCAAACATCAATCAAAATACAGAATTATAAACAAAGGCCAGGTTATAACGGACTGACATTAAATCACGTAACGTCGGTCACACGAAACAAATACTCCAAGGACCACAATCGAAAGTGTAAGCGAAAAAAAAAGACAACATTTTTATTTAAAAACAACGACCAAACTTCTCGTCAAAAATCCAAATTTTCCTTTCCCAATGCAGACATTCAGCCCAATCTCCAGGCTAGGCTGGGGGTAGTGCACATAGACGTTAAAAAATATTCTAGGCTCTTTTTTGTGTGCAAGGTTAGCATTAAAAAGGAGTTTGAAGGTTGTAATAAATTCAGGGTTTTCTGGATTAACCCAAATTACAATAAAAATGATATCCCACCTTTGCAAAACCTAAGCTAGATTGATATTTGTGTGAAATATGTGTGATAAATAGCCTTGCCGATCTTTGAAGGCCGACTGAGCTTGAACACTTGGCAAATTGTGTAACTTTGTGCCCGGAAATAAATTCAGCAAGTTTCCAGCTTTCGAAAACTGTAAGGTATGTATTGGTCCAGTAGTCGCTCGATTTAAGGGTGACCAGAAATTTCGGAAATCTCACCCTTAAATAGAAAATACCCTTATATCGAAAATTGTGACTACTCTTTAAAAACTAGTCCCCAGGAACCAGCTGCTGTTAAATTTTGAATATCTTATATAATAAAACTTTGGATACATTTTGTCAATCCTTGCATGTCTTTATTTTATTCGATATAAGCAACACACGTCTACGTCTTACAATTTCCCAAAAAATTGAAATTTTAGATCAGTTTGGAATGGGAAACACCAATCAGATGGAGCTCGGAAAATGGGCACAAAAAAAGTTTGATTTAATAAAACCTCTTTCACAACAAACTGTGTCAAACATCCTCAACAATGCCGATCAGTTGTATTCTAACATTGTTGTTGTCAAGAATAGCAAGAGTTTAAAGCTGCGCAAGTATCCTCAACTTGACGAAGAAGTGGAAACATTCGTGAATCATATGAATGACTGCAGCACACCAGTACACCATGCCTGTATCATCGAGTACGTCAAGCGCATCGCTCTTTCAAAGTACTCCATCAATGATGATATTAACTTTTCTGATGGATGGCTTTCCAAGGTTTTCAAACATCTTGGTTTAAAATGTAGACCAACTCATGGTGAATGTGCCTCTGTTGATGTCAATTCCCAAAGCATTCAAGACCAGCTTAAAAAAATTCGGGAAGAATTGACGGATTATTCTCTCGCTGATATTATGAACTTTGACGAGACCGGATTGTACTACAATCAACCACCAAGAAGAACAATTTGCTCACAACCACTTGGTGGGTTGAAGAAGAGTAAGACCCGTGTGACTGTGGGGTGACTTTGCTATGTGGATGGTACCTACAAAGGCCATCCGATTGTCATTGGGCAATTCAAAAGCCCTCGTTGCTTCAAGGAAAACCCCAAAATGCTATCACTGACAGCTATTCGCACCCGTCGTTACGTGGAGTATCACCACTCACCCAAGGCTTGGATGACTACTGAGATCTTCTCGGCTTACATCAAAAAATTGGATATTGCTTTTGGTCGAGAGGGTAGAAAAGTGGCTCTTCTTTTGGACAATGCCTTAGTGCATAACATGAAGTTCAAGCCGGTGAACATAAAGTTGGTGTTTCTTCCTGCCAATACAACGAGTATGTTGCAAGCTCTCGATGCAGGTAAACAAAATAAACAATGACGTTTTTTAAGTCGAAGTACTAATTTTAATTCACTTTATTTAGGTATTATTGCCAACTTTAAGGCTTACTTTCGTTCCCAACAGTACATGAGAAGTCTCGATTTGTTCGCCAGCAAACAGTTAGATAACTTGGATGTTTACAACTTGAATCAGGTACAAGCCATGTTTTTCTTGGCCAATGCTTGGTTAAAGGTAACGCCTGAGACAATAAAGAATTGTGGGAGCAATACCAACATCTTGGGATTCAAAGAAAACCCTGACGCGTTGGCTTTGCCACCCACTGTCCCCTTGCCTCTGGAAGATAATATTGTGCAGGAGATCAACAATTTGTTGCCCGATCTTCCTGGTAATTCAGACAACGAGAGCACTGATGTCAGTCAGCTGGATCTGGATTCTGACGAGATGTTTATCATCAATGATGAGGAGATCGTGATGGACGGAGAGGAGGAGATCCCAATGATACCTGAACAGGAGATATACGTCGATATCAATGATTGTAAAAAACGGTTGACGGAAGCTTATGAGACGATTCTGGCCTTGGATGTGCCTTTGGATGACTTGGACAATCAGTTCCATAGACGTGTTAGAATGAGATTGACTGAATCTCGTGCTAAAGTAGAAAATTTGAAAGAACAAGCTGATATTCGTCGCTTTTTCCAATAAAAAATTATTTCTCCTGTCACAAATGACTTTAAAAAATGATGATTTGTTACTGATAAATTTTTTTTTCGACTGGGCACCAAAAAAAAAAAAAAAAACCCAAATATGGTAAAAACCCGTTCGATTTAAGGGTATGGGGAATTGGGATCTCACCCTTAAATATAATAGTGGTTTAGTGATGTTAATGCTGGGGACGGAAGTTGTTTTTCAAAAATCCACCCTTAAATAGAAAATACCCTTAAATAGAAAATACCCTTAAATCGAACACCCTTAAATCGAGCAACTACTGTACTTGTCTTGGTTGCATTGTTATCTTCGATTTTTGTTGTCTTATATATCATGTTTTCATAGATGTCGTATGTCTAATTTTTTATGTTCTCATGGATATTCTCTGTCATATACATCATGTCGTTATGGATATCTGCTTTTTTGGATACCTGGCAATCTTTGGATATCAGCTCTCTCGGATACCTGATTATCTTGGATATCTGCTGTCTTTAATTTCTTGCTGTCTCGAATGTCTTGTATTCTTAGGTATCAAGTTGTCTTGGATATGCTGCTGTCTTCACTATCTGGTTGTCTTAAATGTCTTGTTGTATTTCTTGTATACATAAATATCCCTTAATGTATACATGCACTATCATGTAACTAACTTTAGCAAAGAAATTCGAAATAGCTATTTTGGGTCACCTCACGTACACGCGGTTTACATGCAACATGTGCATTTGTGATGTTTTGAGATAATAAAATTAGATAAAAGCAGAAGAAAAAGAATGAACGAAATGAGTCTCTGTTGATCCTTTATTAAAGTTATGGAGAGAAGGTCATCGCAAAAGGGAGGACGCTTTTTATATCAAAACATCTGGGAGATTGAATCTGGTAAAGAATAGGTAGTGGCTTGTTTCTATCATCTGAAACATGGCAATTAGAATTATATGGTCTCAAGTCAATCAATATTTTATCATATTGATTGGCCCGAATTATTAAGTGAAAATTTCTCGTTTGCTGATACTTCAGTAACAGATTAAAGGGAGTCATAACAACCAATAATAATATAATTCCCAATATATAATCTGTAACAAGACTATACTGGTAATATGAGAGTACCACTCGAATATTATAATTTAACCATATTGAAGGTCATTCTATACGATCTTTATAGGAGGAAATACGGCAGCATTAACAGATGACAAAACCAACTTTTAAATAATAACACCGCTTACAATGCACGCATGGTAGACACGTGCTTACTGCAATATATTACATTCTAAATCATTCTCGCAGTCGGCTCTATGAATTGACAAGTACCAAAAGGACTTTGTCTATTCCTTATTTAAATCATCCTCTAATTCAATAATAAAATGACATACAATTCACCCAGTCTCACAAATACCTTTTTCTTTACTTTATAAACTGTCGATCTTGTTTGATAGAATATTTATATCATCCTTTGAAATGAACTAGGTAACGCTAAAACTTTTACAAATACTATTTCTTTAAACTTATGCCATAAATAAGACTTATTCTTGATCTTGGGCTTTGTTTTGCAAAAACCTACGGTTATCTGGTCGATTTTAGATCTCTGTTCATATTATTCGGTAGATGGCTAGTCCATATGATACTAAAACTATTATAACAAGGTCGCGTACCGTTGCTGTCTGACGTTTTGCTTGTTGACACCATTATCTTTTGAGTTCATATATCTGATTGTCTTGTATCGGATCAGCTTTCTGGGATATACTTTTTTTAGCAACTTCAATACTAAGCAAAGACGACTCTTAAGCTATTAAAACTATTTCAACATCTTTATAAATTGTTTTCCACTTTTAAGAAATATTTTTTTATCTTTGTCTTGAAGTGCCTTTTTTCTAACAGCTTTCGGCTTCAGACGAAATTAATTTTTTTTGTTTCTATAAACTATGTTAGCGGCGTAAGAAACGGTTGTTTAGCTATCTGTAGAATGTACGATGTTTAAAAGTGTGTCAGAAAAATAATATTTGTTCATATTGATATAGCGCTAGTACGGATTTAGATTTAAAAAGGGACAATTATTATTATATAACAATTGTGATAGTGAGCACCAGACTTTTAGTAGTCAACTTAGTTTTATTATTTATTAAGAGTATTTCTGTAGTGATCTTAGACGATAAAATATATGGATAAGACAATAAAATGCAAATCGATAATAATACAGTGAGAGATGAGAAGAGAATATAGTTCTTAGATGTTAAAGATAAAAGAGTTTACGACGGGTTTATGTAAGAAGATGATGTGATTGTATAATTTACAATAGACAACAAACAGCAACAAAAAGCGGAGGAAATACTACTAGTATCTGTGATGTTTGAGATATTAAAATAGATAAAACAGAATAAAAAAAGAAGTAATAAGAAATGAGTCTCTATTAATCCTTTATTAAAGTTATGGAGAGAAAGTCATCGCAAAAGGGAGGACGCTTTTTATATCAAACATCTGGGAGATTGAATCTGGTAAGGAATAGGCAGTGGCTTGTTTCTATCTTCTGAAACATGGCAATTAGAATTACATGGTCTTAAGTCAATCAATACTTTCTTATATTGATTGGCCCAAATTATTAAGTGAAAAATTCTCATTAGCTGACACTTCAGTAACAGATTAATGAGAATCAAAAACAACCAATAATAATATAATCTCCCAATATATAATCTGTAACAAGATTATACTGGTAATATGAGAGTACCACTCGAATATTATAATTTAACCACATTGAAGGTCATTCTATACGATATTTATTGGAGGAAATACGACAGTATCAATTACAAGATAAATCCCAAATTTAGGTGAAGACAAAACTAAAGAATATTTATTAAGAAATGAAAAAAAGGAAGCGTATTTATAGGAAAGATCCTATCCTGTGTAACAACAAGCCACATTATTATTGGCTGCAACAATATTGTTATTTTCTTGGTTTTATGGTGATGAATTATCTTTAATACCTCATCCATTAATTTTCCCTTTGCTGGATACGTATTTCAAGTATATTTTACTTCTTTGGATGTTCTAGAAATGTAGCATTGACGGCTTTTTGGGTGTCTATCGTGTTACCACTACCTTTCAGAACTCCTAATTACCCTTTCAAATATTTGAACAAATACTTGGAATATACAGCGGCAAATTTGTATCGTACTCCTTACTAAATGTTATGTTTTAAGGTAGAGTAAAATTATAAAAAGACTATCGGAGTAGTTTGAGACTGTTTATAAGATTGTCTTTTAATAATAAACGAAATGTAGCAGTATTTATATAAAAGACTGTCGGCTGTGTTCATATCTGAAGTGCTGTCTGGAAGTTATCCAAGATTAACCAAAAATGTATACGATTATTACATAGTACTACTTTAGTCTTGTTCTAATAAATGTGAAGTTTTTTTAAATCTCCTTGCTTTAAGCTGTATTTTAATTATTTCTCAGACGTACTAAATTAGACTTGCGATGTAATATTCTTATAGTTCTTACTATGACATTTATTGTAAAGCTTATATCACAAATGGTATTGGCATGGATTAACCTTTGTCAGCTCTAATATGGCTATATTCTTGCTAGGTCACCACCCACTCCTCGGGTACTGCAGTCATGTCTATTTAATTCTATTTCTGTATTCAAGATCTTATCTGTTTTTTCTTTTTCTTTTAATTAAACTTTTTCTACTCTCATCCATTTTATATATGTTAATACTAATTGATATTATGCCTGTTTCTTTGGTCCTCACCTTAATAATTATTATGTTCTGCTCTTGCCCCGCTCCACTCCTCACAGGCCCACTAATTTGAACAAGTCGTCTTGATTAATTCTGTTTATAGCTCTGTTAAATACATCATTACTAAAACCAGTCTCCAAAGCAATGATACGATTAGAGCAGCATTGGACGAAACACAAATGTGGTAGACTAAAAAATGTGTAACATGTTTGGGATAAAAAATATTCCAGTAAAGGTTATAAAAAAGAAGGATTTAACTTCTTATCAGAGTGATAATAGCTTATACATTTTTGATGAAGCGCTTTTAACCAGATCAATAACTTAATAATAACAAAAGACAGAAAATGGAGAATGTTCACAAAGTGGCCCTATGATATGAGTATGTGATGTTCTTACAAAATACAATAACCTCAAACAGTTAGGAAAGGTTAGAGGTCACTGAATATATGTTTTTGAAATACAACGCACGTTTAAGGACGTTCCGATATGATTTGCGACTTATCGTATATGTGAAATTAACTAAGATAATTCCCATACAAGCTTAGAATGCTTGAACCATTTTTGAACCGTTTCTAACTGCTTATAATCTATTTTGGTTGTTAGTTAAATGTAATCAGTGAACCCGTAAGTGTCGGATCTGTACTGATAACGGACCAGAATTCCCTGAAGTATCGCATAACAACGGATAGCGGACCGGAGTGCCCTGAAGTCAACGGATTTTCAGGGATAACGGACCGGAGTACCCTGAAATCAACGGATTTTGAGGGATAACGGACCAGAGTACCCAAAGCTTTTGGGTCTTGACAGATAACCGACCAGAATTCTCAGATTTGTATGATTTATGCTGCTGACATGAAACAAAATATATTGAGATCTTAAATAGGAGATGTACTAATTTGGACAAGCTCCGGTTTTTTTTTTTATTAATTTTTTTTTCCTAAATTGAATTCTGTGAAAAATAATGTTGCCATATTTTTTTATTATTAATTTACTGCTTAAAAATAAAAAAATCTGTGCGTATCGAATATGAAGCTTCCAGAAATAAACCGTTCTAAAATGGACTACTAAAATGCCAAAAAACAAAATAAAATTTTTATTACTGTTTCCTTACCTAATTTTTCTAAATTGAACAATCAAAACAACAACAACAACCGTATCATTTTCCAATTTATTGAAGTGACACCTAATGGTGTAGGCTATGGTAGCAACCGTCGCATGCTACTACTGTTTCAGAAGAAAAAAACGTTCCTGTCGTCGATCCGGCTGCTGCCCCCGTTTCCCCTGCTGCACCTGCTACTACCACTGCTGATGACACTGATGCTGATGCCACGAATTCTGCTGCCACTATTAAGTTTCAGATACGAGATACAATCACTCAAACTAGAATTCAGCTAGCACGTTTGCTCTGATTGAATTGTATGTGGATTACAACTAGCGGTTGCAGTCTACTGGTACGCTATCTGAACGAAATGAGTTGTACCGTGCCATGTGGCACTCAATCAAAACCAACAACAGCACCAATGGAAAAACACCTTTGAGTACATTGAAGCCTAAGTGGTCTGCGCTCTGTCTGACCTTCAGACATGGCAATGATAGGTTGAATGCAACTGGTACCGCACCGATTGAAAACTGGGCCTACCATGATGCGATGGAGAACGCCACCAGTGAGATGCCCAACGTCATTCACCCACAGTGTTTACCTCTCTTGCTGGAGAGACGATAGATAATCGTGGTGAAGTTGCCGGTGCTAGACGAGTAAGAGCCATCGAAAACAATGGTGCTGGGATGGGTGTGAGTCGTGGGGCTGCGAGTTAAGTAGAGCGGTCAACCGAACAATCCGGCATCTGGTCACCTCTATGAATGAGATTGAGGCACGTCCTTTTGAGCGTAGAGAGCCGGTGCAAAGAACGTTCAATAGATATCTTGCTTGTTCGACAACGTATTTTGGTCCGATGTTGGAATTAATGGAGAAACGAGACCAGGTGCAGTCTCGCATCACTGAGCAGATGTAGGCCAGTCTGGATATCCAGCGCCAGATGCAGATGGTAATGAGAGGGGATTTCGGCTCAAGAAACAACAACGGTACCAGCTACAATGCGTTTGAAAACGGTGAATACGACTACACCAACAACACCAGCCACTACTTCCGCGCTGATGTCAATGATATTCCTGAAGCCTATGACTATCAGTTCAACAGTCCTTCTGCCAGCAGCAACAGCGTCTACGACAACACCATCTTCAACAGCACCCTCCCAAACAATACCTTCCCCAAGAACACTGCCTCCATCCCCTCTGCCAGTCCCATGACGATTGATGGCAGTGTCAGACGGTTTTTCCTGTTATATCAGACGTGCTTGGAATCACTTATCCATCTTCGGATTAACTTAAACCTCATACAAACGACTAAAATATAATTCACATTTTTTTCCATAATAAGGGTGTTCTCAAGCAAATTATTTAAAATTTTAAAATTTTGATTTTAATTAAAAATATTTGACCCCACCACTATGGAGGGGTCAAATTTTAAAAAATGTTTTCTGACATTAAAATATCATTTTAACTCAAAAAAGTACTAAAATCGCATCACTCATTTTGTGTGGGAATTCTTTTCTTTTATAACAAATACTAAAAATGTCTTACAACGATAAATTATATTACTACTACCAACTTATTTGCAACCATCGCAACTTAGTTCTCGCTGAATACCAGCAGCTCATTGAGAGTCAAATAGCATTGAACGAACAAGTGTTTCTTTATTACAAGACCACGTTTTTAGATTCGCCCTCTCTCTTTGAGTTGACGCCTTTTCTCATTCAAGCTCATTTAACATACCCAACTGAGCCGGTCAACAATCGCCATTCATTCGCCAACTACCATTACTTCCGCATCTCTCACCCTTTTATGACTGATGACGACAATCCACGAACCAGCTATCGCGCCATGTACCGTATGAATCGCACTACGTTCGAAAGGGTTGTAAGCGAACTATGCAGAGATCCCGCTTTTCAGTCTAGAGCTGTAAATTTTATTCCTCCATACGTCCAGATTTCAAATTGAATTTGGCGCTTAGGTAGTTGTCACGTTCGCTATCGCTGCGCCCACTTGGCTATAGGAGTCTCTCATGGTAGTTACAGTAACTTTACACAACGTTTTGTAAAAGCCGTAGTTAACAAATTCAAGCATCTTATAGAATGGCCCAAGGACGAGCAGCGTGTCGCTGCAATCAAACATGGTTTCGAGTATGGTATAGGCCGCACTGTTCGGGGTCTACCAGCTGTTGGAGCTTTGGACGGCAAGAACTTTGTGATTGAATCAAGAACGGAACATGCCGAGGATTGGAGGGATTGTAAGGGAGACTTTGCCATGAAACTTACGGCAGTATGTGATGATAAGAGTAAGTTTACTTACATTTCGGTTGGTGATTCTGGTAATAATTTATTTGTCCGATTGTATGCAATGATGTCGATCGTTTTGACATAGGTCGTTCATACGATGCTGCTGGTTTCAACCTCAGCGAGATAGCAACAGTTGCCTTGGAAAACCCCCAAGAATACTCTCCTTTGAATGGGTATATCCTTGCAGGTAAAATATATAAGCGTGAATAAAATTTTCGAAAAAAACTAAATATGTTTTAGACTCGGCATACCCACTATCGCACCATATAATTGTGCCTTATCCAGTTTCGGAAGTCCTTGGAAGATCTGATGATGCTTTGGCCAAAAAAAAGTTCAACAAGATCCATTCGTCAACTGGAATGGCCATTGAAAGAGCTTTTGGTATATTTATTTCTCGCTGGAGATTCCTCAGCAAACGTATACATACATCAAGGATACCGGTGATATTGTGGTTATTATAGCAGCTAGTTGTATTTTACACAATCTGTGTATTGAGGTGATTGACTCTGTTCTGGAATTAGTAGAAGATAAGAAGAACGATGTGCCGAGCGATGAGCCTGCTGCTAGGACGGATAGTTCTAGTCAGTCAGTCAACAGCACCGCCTATCGGAATGGTCAAACTAGAAGGGACAACATCAACCCCTATATGCCTCCTCAACAATAAACCAGTAATGTTTGTAACAAAATTATATATTTTTATTGATCAGTATTATTTTTATTATTTTGGCCCTGTTGGTTTCGATTGGCCATATCGTGAAAGATCGCATCAACAAGTCTTGCCGTTTCCCTGTTACTTTGAGCAAAAAGTTCTGCCACTCGATCACTACGTGCAAGTAATGCAGCATTGGCCTCCCGACTATACTGAAGAAAGGACTGAAAGTGGCTGTCCTTTTCCAAAGCTTGAGTTTGTTGCACCTGGTTCAAGACACGGAACATGCTCTTCTCGATGCGTTGTTCAGACGCCGATGGTGAAGGCAACATCGAAGCTACTCTTCCTGGGTAGGTTGAAAGCGCTCCGATCCGCGTGCAGGTGGTGCAGGTGGTGCTTGTAGTGCTTGTAGTGCTGGTGGTGCTGGTGGTTCTGTTGGTGCTTTTCGTGCTGTTGGTGCTGTTGTTGTTGCTGGTGGGGATGTGGCTGTTGACACACGGGGTGTCTCTAATCTGCGTCTTTCAGTGGGAAGTTGATCTCGTTCACCGACAGCAAAGATCCTCTCCAAACGTACATTACCTGCTGTTGCAGGTTGGGTATCCACAGTACGTAACACATCGTCTGCAGTGTTTGTATGGGTAGTATTCTGGCTAGGACTACCAACAACCTCAGGCTCCAAATTATCAGCATCCTCAGGAGCATCTTCAATTCTTGTTCTGAACTCCCCTGAAATTGAGGAATAAGTGAAAGGTGAAAAAAATGAAGGTAAGTCTTTCAGAATGCTATATAACCTGTCATAAATGATAGAACGAGCGGTTGTTGCTTGTCCAGTAGAATTACGGGTGGTGTCATGAACTTACTCGCCCTGTTTATTGTCTGCATAACTTAACCATGATCTCAAACCCCTTGTGAAACCTTGTTCTAGAAATCAATATCAGTATCTCTTGTCCGCTACCAAACTCCCTGTAAAACCTTGTACCAAAAATCATATCAGTATATCTTGTCCGCTACCAAACTCCCTGTAAAACTTTGTACCAAAAATCATATCAGTATATCTTGCCCGCCACCGAACTCCTTGTAAAACATATCATTAATCTGCCTCTCAATATTACTCCCGCTTCCTGTCTGACTCAACCTTAGTAAA